AACATAAATGAGACTTGCTTTGTTGATACTGTAGATAAGTATCTAAATGCTTTTAGCGGCCACTATAGAGCAGCATGGTGATCATTAGTATTTTAGAAAGCACAAAACACAGGCTATTGTGTTGCACTAATACAGGCCACTAGGAAAACTGCTCCAGTATCAGCTTCTATTATACTTTGGGAAAGAGCAAACAGTTATGATGAACACCCACCTTAATATATATATATATATATATATATAGTGTCATTTTTTAAAATTACACAAAAAGTTATATCACACAAAAAGATAGAATCTGAGAGCTCTCTGACCCTCCCATAGACAGCAACGCAATGCAACTGAAATGTTCCCAGGCCCAGAAACGTAGCAAGGAGATCGGTAAAAGAATCAATGACATCAGGGGTTCAACTGTAATTATACGAAGCTACAAGAATACGTCTTGTGCGCAAAAGAAAAGAAAAAATGACTTTATTCAACAATTCGTCTCCTATTCTCCAACATGGCACCAGGGTGACAGGGAGGAGACGAATTGTTGAATAAAGTCATTTTTTCTTTTCTTTTGCGCACAAGACGTATTCTTGTAGCTTCGTAAAATTACGGTTGAACCCCTGATGTCACATGGACTATTTTACAGATCTCCTTGCTACGTTTCTGGGCCTGGGAACATTTCAGTTGCATTGCTGTCTATGGGAGGGTCAGAGAGCTCTCAGATTCCATCAAAAATATCTTAATTTGTGTTCCGAAGATGAACGAAGGTCTTACGGGTTTGGAACAACACGAGGGTGAGTAATTAATGACAGAATTTTCAATTTTTGGGTGAACTATCCCTTTAAGACCTGCCCAAATAAAATGAATACTGTCCATACAGAACAAACCCATATGATCTCAAAATAATCACGTATCGCATATTCTTTAACTTAATGAAACAGGCTTGGGTATAAAATACTCACACAATAAATGTTTTACTAATACATACACATTAAAGCTCAAATGATTTTGCATTTTGCAGATAAGATAATAATGAGTTTAAAGCAAGGCACAAAAAGATTAGTGTGTCGTTACTATTAAAATCTTTTTGTGCTCTTAAACTTGATCAAATTCATTTTTAAAACTTTAAGGACCCAAGGGAACTGTTCAAACTGAAGAAATCCTTTATTAGCAATCAAATGAACAATCACAACAACTGAAATAAGATCATTCTGACCAGTCGTCGCACTGTGGAAAGAAAACAAATGTAATACTGAAATTTGCTCTTTGTTGACTTTTTTAACACTGATGTAACTTTGATTCTGTCATGTTAGCCAATAGCGAATATCATTGTTTTAGCAAACGCACACATATGTGGTATGCAACAGTCACTTTTTTACCACCCAATCAATTGCAGATGAACAAAATCATCCATCCCTACATTTTTATTTTTTTCTGGTTGAATGTACTGATTGACTCAGAAATATGTCACATTAGTAAGTAAAATGAGGTTAACGCTCTTCCATCTCTGACATGATGATCTATATTCCCTCATAAAACACCCACTATAACAGCACTTCAGGAAAGAGAGAGAAGAGGAGGATAAATGGATGATGGAGGGGTGTTACTGTACCATTCTGCATGGCCTCATCTTTCCAGCGGGAGGTGCATTTGTCTGCTTGCTCTAAAATAAATGGGAGAGCACATTATATTTTATTATAATGACATTTAGAGAAAGGGAGAGAGAAACAGCTTGTGAACACAGTTTGGGAAACAGTGAATTCAGGACTCAACAAGAAGGGTCTAAGGTCTGAATTTATTTATTGAATTTATTTAAGAGTACTTTGTTCCTTTATTAGCTTCAGATGTGCTTGCTGTGTTGTTTCTGGCCTGGAGGACACGAGTTCTACTATTACTGAAAGTAATAGTCAGCGGGCAACCAGGTGAGACACAGGGCCACGACTGATCTAAAATATCCGGATAGAAATTTGTTACCCATTCTCAGTGGGAAAGTGCCCAAGCAACGTTGCTTAAAAAAGTTGCCCCATGTATAATCAGCCTAAAACTTTGGGATCCGTGATATTTTTTAATGTTTCTGAATGTCTCACCATGCATTTATTTGATCAAAAATACAGTAAAAATTGTGAAATATTATTACAATTTAAAAGAACAGTTTTCTATTGTAATATAATTTCAAATGTAATTTATTCTTGTAAGTGAAAGCTGAATTTCCAGCATCATTCCTCCAGTCCTCAGAGTCACGTGATCTTTCAGAAATCATTTCAATATGCTGATTTGAGCTCAAGAAACATTTCTGATTATTATCAATGCTGAAAACAGTTGTGCTGCTTCATAATTTTGTGGAAACCAAGATTCACTACCATTCAAAAGATTGTGGTAAGAAAGAAATCTAAATTAATTCATAATTTTATTAATCAAGGATGCATTACATTGATCAAAAGTGACAGATTCAGTGACAAAGATTTCTATTTCAAATAGATGTTGTTCTTCTGAACTTCCTATTCATGAAAGAATCCATTTGTAATAATATTTCACAATTGTTACTATATTGTTTTGGAACGAAAAACTACAAAACATGTTTATTGGGTCTTTAATTCTATTCCATTCATTTATGTATTTTATTATTGTCCCAGCATGACCACTGAAAATATGGCCAGGAATAAAAATAATCTTCCCAAATGATCTGAAATGAGCAGAAACATAAATACTTATTATTGAGCCCTGAAGACAGCAAGGCAAAAAAAAGACTTGCTTTCAGTGTTGCAAACTCAGCAATTTTGTTGCTAAATTTAGCAACGTTTCAGACTACCCTAGCAACTTTTTCTTCCAAAAGCACCTAGCAACAAATGTAGCCATTTAAAAAAATTATTTGGCAACTTTTGATAAGTGACTCAAACAATAAAAAGGCACACACTTTCCATCCAAATTACACAAAAAGAGGAAACCAAAGATGCCTAGCAGTACACACATCACGTGAATTAAGTTAGCTGCTATTTGCAATTGTTCAATTTAATAATAATAATTTAATAACTGAATAATTGTTCATTTATGATACACTTTGTTAGTAGCTTGTACCTGTGATTGTTGTTTAGTTAGTACACTGTAGGGGTGTGCGATACTGGAAAAAAAATAATATCTCAATATTTTTTGGGATATTTTCCATAACGATAATTAGACGATATTTTGCCGAGTGTGTTATTGTGCTGATATCGGACTATCATGGACAGCTGCAGTTTTTGACATTCTTCATTCTGTGCTGGTCAGTTCACATCAGTGAACAGAAATTAATCTTTTCATATAAGTTTCAATTGATTTTTACCTTTTATGGGCATTTTTACCTTTAATAAAGACATTTTTTTCTAAAAGTGTGCATCTTTTGAGTCAAATTATTACATTTAATCAGTCAATTACAATAATAAGACATTTAGTCTGTTACCAAACAAATGAAACCAGTATCAGCAAAATTAATCTTTGCAGAAGTTGCATCTGAAGTGACATAGATGTATATACACACTATTTAATTCAGCTCATAGGGACATGGAGTGCTTTAACCTGCAGTTACAAATGCATAATGTTTTGATATTTTAAATATAAAACATTGAATACTGATGTTTGAAATGAAAAGATACTTTAAATGTGAAATTAAAACCGCCAGTAGGTGGCAGCAAGTCACTGTAAACAAGTGAGTCATTTCGATTAGGTTGGCGAAATAAAGCAAAAAACAGGCAATATTGTGTCTAAAACGTAAGTCTCTTAATATTAACTTATCGTTTATTGAACCGATGTATAAAATCAGTATCACATTTGTAATCATGCTTATTTTTGAAGAAAAAAACGGCACTCTTCGTGTGATTTTAACTACCGTATTGACCCGAATATAAGACGATGTTTTTTTCTTGGAAATACATCTGAAAAAACGCGGTGGTCTTATATTCAGGGTCTAGACTTTGACATGTCAGTAATACACCCACAACAATAGGTGGCGCCAAATACGCATAAAACGAGTGTGTAATGAAATACGTCATGTAATGCGTGTTGTAAAGATCGCGTGTAAAAACAAAAGAAAAAGAAAACCTTTCAGCTGCATGAGTCGTGACTGTCACGTTAGCCTGATGGGACCAAACTATAAAATGTAAGACCGTACCCAGATTTGAAGACTACAGTAAGATTTAACTTCTACTGTTAATAAGATTTTGGTAGGCTACTATTAGATGGATAGCCTAAATGTCCTAATTCAGATGGGCTACCGTTTTTTTATTTATAATCGTATATCAAAAAGTGTATATTTTTTAAATGTTACTGTTGGTACATTTTGCCAGTTTTTACCATACTTTCAAAACAAAAATTAAAATAGGAAAAATATGCAATATGAAAATAATTGAAGACAAATTGTGTTTTACTGAGAAAAAACAAGATTTGTTTTTTAAAAAGCCTTTTTCCAAAAAGTACATCTAGAAAAAAAGGGGGGTCGTCTTATAATCAGGGTTGTCTTATACTCAGGCCAATGCGGTATATGAAATGATATAAATATGTAAATTTTCTGCCCCCAAATCTTGAATTATGTGATCTTTTTTAATGCATTTTACTGAATCATGCAGTGAAAGAACACTCTCTAAATGCGCACATGCACTGTTTAACCAGCTAGACTTCATCACGTAATGTATGCGTGCACGCCGTAGGTGTTTTGTTTGGTTTTTGCAAAATACTCGATAATGTCAAATCGCACATCGTTAAAACAACAATTACGATATTATCGCAGACGATATATATCGCACACCCCTAGTACACTGTAAGCACATTCCCGAAAACACAATGCATAATTTAAAATGCAGGTAAAAAACCAATACGGAAAATTATTTCATATTAACATAGTAGATTGTGCCCTATTTTTACAGACTTTTCTTAGAGTGTAGCATACTAACTAACTACCAATACACTGCTTAAAGCATAATTGTTGAGAATGTGTAGTATTACTACTAGTTATTAAAAAAACTTAAATTGTAATCATTTAAAAAGTGTTCAAAAATTCAATGTATTGAAAAATACAGTTATTTATATTTTATTATACATATTATTTTACAAACAAATCTAAATGAACCTATATAAAATATAGTTTTTTTGCTGAGATTTGATGTCGTGACACAATTTTGCGTCGTGATTACACAATGACGTCATCACGCAATGACATCACAACGTCATTTAGCAACTTTTAGCAAAAAAAAATCGACCTTCCTTTAGCAACTCTCTCTAAAAATTAGTTGGCAGCACTGCTTGCATTTGCTCTTTTTGGTACTCATTGTGATATCACATGATCCTGGATGAGTGAGCACAACGCACATCACAGGATGAGAATGCCAGCAATCTCTGCGTCTGAGGCAATGTCTTCAGCGCTGCTTTTTACAAAACGCTAAAGATAAGGCAATTAGGAATCTGAAAACCAGACATGATTCAGTCCAAAGATCACAATCTAAGGAAGACGTGCAGCACTGCTGAACACACACATTCATACTTAGATAACACACACAGGTAGGAACTCGGTCAAAGAAAGCGTCAGATATTGCTGCAGTGTTGACTAATACTCATTTTGTTTTGTTTTAATGATTAGACTTCAACTAGCTAGAACAGAAATCAAGGAAACTCTTTAGATTAGGGAACACCATTCACTATTATCTAGTTGCTTATTAGCATATTACTAGCATATTCGCTGTACTTAATAATGCCTTATTCTGCATGATAATTAACATAACTAAAATTTTACTTTTTTCAAACTTTTTTGTGTGTGTGTTGCTTCTGTGCTTCTCATATTGCCGCATGATAATGACAAAAATATTTATTTTAATATTTGTTACAATAGTTTATGATTGTTTTTGATTCTAATTTGCATGAATGCACTTATTTTCAGTTTCAATTTGACTGTTTACAAATTCGCTGTATGTAACTACATAGCCTACCCAAAACGAGCAGAGAAGTGTGATCTTGTATTACTTTATTGCAGCAGAAATATAACAAATCTATCAACCCTCCACAATGAATATGTTATTTGCATTTCATCTGGTTGATTATTACATAAGTTCTCAGTGTCGGGTGATTCATGTTCAACATGAGTAGAGCTCAATAATGCTGTAATCATCAATTTTCAAGCTATTCATTATAAGCCATAATTGTAATCTTTATGATTCATTTGATAATTGTGCAGCCTCAGTAATGTAAGTCTCATAAGTGTGTTGCTGGCTATATAGAGCGATTAATTTCAATCACTTGTGTGCAGGATTGAACTGGGGTTTTGGAGGCCGGTGAGCACTTATGCTGACACTCTTATTCCACTGAAATTAAAAACACACAAAGATATGTATATGAAGAATTCATTTGCAAAAACAGACAGCTCTGTTTTGAAAAATTTTCAAAAATCACGTATTTTCATTGTGCAAATCTCAATCACACTGCAGTTGGGTTATTTTGATTAGGTAAAAAAAAAAATAATTACAATATACACAATAAAAACATGACACAGAAGTACCAAAAACTAAATTGTTCATGTTATTATTGGTGTTTGGTCGGTCAAGCACTGCTCTTACTGTTTCTCATACTTAGGGTTAGTGATCTGAACAAACTAGGACTGGCATTGGATTAAAATGCTGTTCAGTGGAATCATCAAAAAATTGCACTTTAGCTTGAATTTAGCTCAATTTTGGAACACAAAAATTCTGAAATAGCCTGTCAAATGAAAGAGCATGACACAAGCAATGCCACGGTTCTGAAAGAATGCAAAAACTCCTGTATATTTTGAATGCAATGCAAGTCGATTTGTGCAAAAGCTTCTAGAAAATGCATAAATGTCAATTGTAAAAAAAGAGCATTTATTGAAATTAAGCTGCAAAAATGACTCGTTCTGAACGTCTGCAAATTCCAGACGTCAAACCTTTTGCTGTTTCTGGCTGTGCAGTACATGAGGTTAGAAACACATTGGAAACAAGTGACTCAGGTTTATTTTAACAAGAAATCCGATCGTTTCAGTCTAATCTGAAGTGTCTGTGTGGCACATTTCTGTGCTGATCATTTTATGAATCCGTAACGTCAAATGCTGTTATTAAGGGACAGAACAGCCCATATCAGAATGAAAAGAACACAAAAGAAGATATTTTGAAGAATGTTTCGATTTGTGCAAAAGCTTCTAGAAAATGCATAAATGTCAATTGTAAAAAAAGAGCATTTATTGAAATTAAGCTGCAAAAATGACTCGTTCTGAACGTCTGCAAATTCCAGACGTCAAACCTTTTGCTGTTTCTGGCTGTGCAATACATGAGGTTAGAAACACATTGGAAACAAGTGACTGAGGTTTATTTTAACAAGAAATCCGATCGTTTCAGTCTAATCTGAAGTGTCTGAGTGGCACATTTCTGTGCTGATCATTTTATGAATCCGTAACGTCAAATGCTGTTATTAAGGGGCAGAACAGCCCATATCAGAATGAAAAGAACACAAAAGAAGATATTTTGAAGAATGTTGGAAACCAAACAGTTGGGTCTGAATACTTAGGACCATGTGATATTTCAGTTTTTCTTTTTTAATAAATCTGCAAAAATGTCAACAATTCTGTGTTTTTCTGTCAATATGGGGTGCTGTGTGTACATTAATGAGGAAAAAAATTAACTTAAATGATTTTAGCAAATGGCTGCAATATAACAAAGAGTGAAAAATTTAAGGGGGTCTGAATACTTTCCGTACCCACTGTATATAGTGCTATACATACACACATATATATATATATATATATTGTATATATATCCTTTTTCCCCGTGTCATTGCATTTTATTGCACAGAACTTAATTTCTGAACTTATTTGTTTTGTTTTCTTTGTATGTATGGATTACTTGGGTTGTTACCGACATCTGGTGAAAATTTCATGATAACAGCACATTTAGAAATATATCTATTGAGAAAAATGGTGACGTGTTCAATACTTATTTTACCCGCTGTATATATACCTTTTTCAACTTTGAAGCCCCCTATACTAAGTAAGTGTAATTCACGTAAATATGTGGTAATTACAGTGGAAAGCTGTTCCTTTTGCATTTGTTTCTGCCATAAAGCAATCTGCAGTTTCCACGGATTGCTTTTTATGGCTCATCAAACTTAAATGTTCCTAGAACAGATGTTTGGAGCACAGCACTGGCAAAAACAGAAGTCATTCTGAGAAGTCATCCTTATTATAAGTCAGTGTGCCATCAGAATTATTTTGAAACCTTAAAAATACCTTCCAAACAGTTGCTTTCACCAGCTGCAACATAACGGCACCCCTTCACATTTTTGGAGTAAACTGCCTTCTTTCTATGCAAATGTACTTGACGCATTGTGCTCTTACCACCACAAAAAGACTGGCGTGAACAGAATTTCATTTAATAAGGATATCTGTAATATCCTTGATATATTATGAATATTACCTTGATATAAATGATTAGCTGTATGCTGCAAAACAGTCCAAACTGGCCTATAGTCTGGGGTTTTGTGCTGTGCAACCTGCAATTAGTAGTACTCGTTATGTTTAATCAATTTGCATTTACTTGATAGGCAAAATTAGTTTTGAATAGCGTGCCTAGACAATGCAGGCAACATCTGCAAAATAATTCATCATATCAGTGGCAGAATTCATTTTTAGCATATCAACATTATCAACATGTTGGATATATGCATTCTGCTTTGCATTCAGCAAGTTTCTTCCAAATTTGTATTTGAAACGCCTACAGATACGTTCTATTCTATAGGTTATTTTGCATGAGTATTGAAGTCAGTCTCAATGTGTAAAAACTTAAAGGGGTCACAAAAATGCTTTTTTAAAGATCATTATTTTGTGTATTTGGTGTAACAGAATATGTTGACATGCTTTAATGTTCAAAAAACACATTATTTTTCAAATACTGTACATTATTGTAGTTCCTCTATGCCCCGCCTCTCTCAAACGCTTTGTTTTCTACAAAGTCCCTCCTTCCGACAAGCGCAGTCTGCTCTGATTGGCCAGCTGACCCAGTGCATTGTGATTGGCTGAACACCGCAAGCACGCGTCGGAAATGTAACGCCCCTTACCATAATCACGAGCTTCATCTTTCAAAATAAATGTAAAGACAGAGCCGGAAAGGGGAACAGAGTCGCGTGACAGACACAGTGATGAAATTGGTATGTGTTTGCAGTACACAAGCCACGGTTAAGACAGCTGACTCCACTGTGATGTGTGACCCTGTCTCTCGCTCGCTCGCTCGCACGCACACACACACACACACACACACACACACAATGCGCTAAACTCCGCATTTGAACAGTCAATAGCAAATACTTAAACTAATAACAAAACAGTAGCTGATTCAGAAGCGCCAGATTGTCATAGCAAAGTCAGAATGACCTCCTCTCCTAGGTTCACGAAACTGTCGTCCATAAAATGCATTGCTGTTCTGTTGTAAGTAATCTTAAAGATTCCTAAATGCATCTACTTTCGGAAGGCCAAATAAAGTGCTTTTGCTTTCGTCTAGAAACACACAGCATCTCCCTGACATGCTGCTTCAACACTATCTGCGGTTACTGAAACCACGCCTTCTTTCTTTGCATGAACATTTGGGCGCATTATGCAAATATTTCCACATAGTGATGTAGATATGTGGGGGCGTGTTAGAACGAGCCGTTTTAGGGGGGCGTGGCAGATTCTTAACTTTGATAAAGAATATCTCTTTGGTTTTGAGACTTTAGTCTTTGAAACTTCAGGGATCTTATCTATGCACAATCAGCTTGTAGCACGCCAAAGAGAAAGGAAAACTTGAAATCGCATCATATGACCCCTTTAAATTTAAGACAACAGAAAATGTTGATACAATTTATTTTAAGGTGTCCTTGTTACAGTGTAATTATACATTTAAGTACTGAGTAATATTAATTAACTACATGCTATACTTACTATATGGTTAGGGTTAGGATTAGGGTTACTTGCATGTAATTATGCATAATTTATTGTTATTATAATGGTAAGTACATGTAACGTGTAACAAGGACACCTTAAAATAAAGTGTTACCGAAAATTGTATTAAAATGTAATTAAATCTAATACTAGATTTATGTTCCACCAGCATTTCAGAGACCGCAATGTATGTACACAACTGCATGCATGTTTATGTGTGTGTAGACCAGGGTTGGAAATCAATGGGGGCTTTGTGAACAAAATGAACCAAAATGAACCAAAATAAACCAAAATGCAACAAAATGAAAAAATTCTACCAAATGGTTTTTGGGCCCTAATTACGACCTGTTAATTGAAAGGGATCCAATTCTTAAATTCAGATTTTTTTTCCAACCCTCAAAGCAACACTTGAGCTTTGAATCACAATAGGTTTTATCTCCATACCATCTGCTGGTCTACAGAAAGAGTTAACTTCCTCTAAACGAGGCCAAATGACTTTGATCAATAAGCATTTAGAGCTCAGTCTGAGATCTGACTCAATAGCTCTGTTTATGTTAACATGTCTATAATGAACTTGATGCAGACCATTAAAAAAAAAAGTATTTGTGTTCATCAGTACGGCTTCAAAAGTCCTGTCATTGCCAGCCTCACGTCCATGACAAATAAATAACTGGACCTGGACTCAGTTTAAATGCTGATACAAAGCTCACAGGACAGTGAGATTCACGTGCCACACAGACACATAGCAACACTGCCAGATACAAATATTATGAGACATGAATCAAAGTCAAGTAACCCCTTTCAAGGGCCCTCGGTGACCTCTCTGTGTGTGCTTGGTTTGCAGTTCAGAGAACTCATCGTCATGACTTTAAACCCTAAAACAGAAATGTTTTACGACAGATTTTCTTGGAACTGGAACGTCTTCACTAAAACAGAGTCAAGCAAATACAAACACACAGACCTGTGAGTTCAATGTCAGAATTGGGAACATCAACTCGGACACACAGTGAAATAAGTACAAATTTGCTTTTCAGTCAAAAATGTGGCAAAATCCACTGGTTCAGATGGGTTCACCAGCTTGATTCAGTGCCGTATGTTATTCCCATATTAGAGCAATGGAGAAACAATGTGAAAACACAGGCATGTCCCATACAAGTCACAACGAGAAACTTATAATTGTGGGGTGTTGTAATAAAAAAATATTAAGTTTTATTCATGTAGTGCCTTTCCCAAGCTTAAAGTTGCTTTACAATAAGTAATTAAAGGGATACTCCACCTAAAAATGTAAACTCTTTCATCATTTACTTAATTACCCTCATGCTGTCCTAGATGATTATGACTATCTTTCTTTAGATGAGCACAAAGAAAGATGTGCAGAAATATAATCCATCTTTGTAAATCCATAAAATGTAGGTGTACTGGACCTCCAAGCTGGTGAGCAAATATACAGTGAGCGGCAGCTCAAAATGAAATGAAAATGCCTTGTTGATGCCAGAGGTCAAAAGAGAATGGCCAGACTGGCTCAAGCTGATTGAGTAGGTATGCAGAAGAGCACTGACTTCAGACAAACTGGAAAAAACAGCCTTTTTTTTTTTTTGGTTGATTCATGTAGTAATTCCACCATAGGCTCGCTGGAAGGCTCTCCAGAAACTAAACTAAAAAGTACCAATACAATTCACTGCAGTTTCCAGCTGAACACCAACAACTTTTATTTACTTCACGCAAAATTTGTTCCATGTGGTTCCTTGCACAATACTATATTGTGATCTCAAAATCATACTGCATGATTTGTAGACTAACACATATTCACATTGACATCACATAACTTGGAAACCAAAGGGAATGCCAGCAGCTTGCAATGGAGAAACTGTGTGACCCCAGAGTGAAGAATGCTTTTATTTTGTAGCTAAAGAACAGATTCCAGACTCTAGCAGACACTGAGAACCTCGCGCAGCCAGTGAAAGTGTGGGACCAGATCAAAGTAGCATATTCTGAAACCAGTGAAGCATGCCATTAGAAAGCTGATGAAACAATGAAAAAAAATGGCAAGACCAGACAAGCATTCCTACATGGACAATATTACAAGCCAAGCATAGCAGCAGCTGACAAACGGGAACAAGGTGTATAAGATAGCCTGTATAGTGGAACTACTGATGTTCCAAGGTTGATTCATGTAGTAATTCCACCATAGGCTCGCTGGAAGGCTCTCCAGAAACTAAACTAAAAAGTACCAATACAATTCACTGCAGTTTCCAGCTGAACACCAACAACTTTTATTTACTTCACGCAAAATTTGTTCCATGTGGTTCCTTGCACAATACTATATTGTGATCTCAAAATCATACTGCATGATTTGTAGACTAACACATATTCACATTGACATCACATAACTTGGAAACCAAAGGGAATGCCAGCAGCTTGCAATGGAGAAACTGTGTGACCCCAGAGTGAAGAATGCTTTTATTTTGTAGCTAAAGAACAGATTCCAGACTCTAGCAGACACTGAGAACCTCGCGCAGCCAGTGAAAGTGTGGGACCAGATCAAAGTAGCATATTCTGAAACCAGTGAAGCATGCCATTAGAAAGCTGATGAAACAATGAAAAAAAAATGGCAAGACCAGACAAGCATTCCTACATGGACAATATTACAAGCCAAGCATAGCAGCAGCTGACAAACGGGAACAAGGTGTATAAGATAGCCTGTATAGTGGAACTACTGATGTTCCACTCACAGACGAGCAGGGGTGACTTCTTACATCAGAAGCAGAACGGGACACTCAATGGGCAAAGCACTTTAGTGAAATCCTAAATAAATCATCACCAACAGCAGAGGCTGATAGACAAGAAGCAGAGATTGATCTAGATGTTAATATAGTCCCACCAGAGAAACGAGAAATCATCTCAACCATCAGATTCCTGGATAGGGACCTGGATAGGATAAGCTCAACACCGTTTTTCAAAGCAGAATCTACAACCCAAATACTATGAGCACTTTTTGAAGTCATATGAGAATAAAAGAAGACACCAGATGACTGGACAGATGGGATCATTGTGAAGATCCCGAAGTAAGGTGACCCGAGTAACTGCAAGAGCTGCTGCGGCATCACCCTGTTGTCAATGATTTTGCAAAGATTATTGCTCATTTACCAGATCTCAGAAATAGTAGACAAAGAACTTAGGAAGGAACAGGCAGGATTCAGGAAAGAAGAGGTTGTGTTGACCAGATATTCACCTTGCGAAACATTGAATTGCACAGAGTGGCAGAGTTGACTTTAAATCAGCTTCTTGCACTTCAAGAGGGATTTTGACCACAGGAACAGTCTAACAAAACAGATTGCTCTTTTTATCAGCAACTTCTCTTTGAAACTGTTGTAGTGATTGTTGTTTCATACTTTGCATGTGAAGACAGGAGTCCGGCAAGGAGGCGTAACATCGTTATCGCTCTTCAACATCACCACTCTCGACTTCATGGACTTCAACCGGGAACATTTCCCATCAACGACACCAAATTCACTTGTTAGTTTGAAAGAGAAACAGCATCTATGCTTAAATTAGTCTGTTCGTCTCATCCTTAACCCAAGGCTACCATAGTCAGCCGGATCTGGTCTGTATCCATACCAGATGGTCGACCTACATCCAGAAACAACCAGAACACCGCTCTTAAATTTCAGTGAAAACCACGGCAATTACACAAGCCCTCGCGACAGATCCTCAGTGAAGACCTCAAAGTGCTCAGCATAGATCCTTATGGCTAATATGAACACTTCAAACCATGACCAGCTAGCACCACGATGCAGTTTATAGCAAGACGGACTATCATCGTGCTTGTGGCCACTGATATAAAAGGCAGCTCTACCTTCATTTTTAACCTGCTGGCCAGACTACAACTCTTCCTTTCCCACATTATACCAAAATAACAAATCTCGATCTTCAAGCAGAAGGAGCTGGATGCAAAGCAATATTGAATAACATCAATCCAAAATCCTGTCACCTTTGGCAAGAAGAGACCTTCATATCATTTTGCAGAAATGTTGCCTCCGGCATGTTTTCCACATTTTTCCTGGGTTGTAATTGCACACTTTCTCCCTTTTGAGACAAAACATCCTGCATGGAACAACATGAGCACAAATGAGCATGCAATTTTCTTTTCCCCCTCAAGTATTCCATTAAGTCTCACAGAGGTCAGAATGTGCAGCATATAATCACATCCTATGCTGTATTTAACTTCACGAGAGTCATGTAAGCACACACTGAAGTGTGGCAGTCTGCTGTACTCACAGCTGACCCCTGTGCTTGTGTCTTCACACAGGACAGACATGTTTCGCTGGTCAGAGTGCAGCATGCTGCCTCAGTTTTTGTGAATAATGATGCCAATGCAGAGCAACGAATGACTGCGTGATGTAGTCTATTAGAATGCATATAGAATGCATTAGAATCATATACCCCAATGGCAAAAAAGCCCCTGTATGGGTCTTGTCCTATGTTTATATCGCAAGTAATAGCTATCAATAGCAATATCACATGTGCAACAGTTCTGTTTTTTTTCCCAAATATCTGCACAACTGCAAACGTGACATTGATTTTATGCAACAATTTAATATTGCGTTGCATTTTAGACACAGTATTGTCATTGACCAATTTCACCAACTAAAATAGTTCCAGGCCACCGAACCTCTGTGTGTCTCGAAGCAACACAGCACTGTTTTGTTACTGAATGAATCCACATTATAAAGACAGTTACTTTCTTCATTTCTGAGTGACATTTGAACGAACTGGTTGACTGAATGACTTACTCATTAAGAAAGCAACTTACTGTCACCAACTGGCAGTTTTTCATTAAAAAAATATTATTTCAATATTCATATTATTGTTCATTTAAAACTCAATCTCACTGAATTATTTATGCAATTCTAATTGCAGTGTAAATGTATTCATGCAACCTTTAAACAGTCTGTGTTAATATACCTAAAATCCACTTCAGATGCAGCTTCGGAAAACAATGTTATGGCCACATTAACTAAGTTTCTGTGCAACAAAATTCAGTGTTAAATTAAAGTATTTCTTCCTAAAGCAGTTTGTAATACCTGTTCAATGCTTTTCTCATTTAACAAATTAATGGCTCTTATTTTGGGGTGTAATTTCTCAACCCAAAATGGTATGATTTATTATGTAATTCATTCAATTAGAAATGTACATTGATTGACAGTCCTGGTAATGATACTTGATGTTTAAGTCAAATGTGCAGTAACTAACTGTCACTCATCTTATACCTCACACAAGTAGTCAGTCTTTAAAAGGCCATTTTCATTTTCAAGAACAATGTATTCAAAGTGAGTTCAACAACTAAAATCTTATTTACATTAAAAAGGCAACATTACAATTTAAAATACATACACCATACATTAAAAAGTATCCACAAAATTTTAAATGCTTTCAGTGTTGCAGCTTTATCCTTTATATTTTTATTATCTTCTATATACCTACTACATATTGACTGAGGTCAGGTGCTTTCTTGGTTTAAGATTACAATAAAGTACGATGGACATAGGGCTGTCAAAAAATTTTTTGAATTTAGAATATTCGTCGAATTTAAAATAAAAATCCACATTTGAATGCAAAAACGTTGCATTCAAATTTTAGGTGTGCATTAAGGAGGCAGCCTTATCAGTGGTGCACGAGACGCGATGACGATGTAAGTGTCATTGCATTTTAATGTTTTTGTTAGCCTGTCCAGTTGAACCCACTAGATGCGGCGCTGCTGCATTGTTAATTACAAATATTGCGGGAAAAGAGAACATCAATGCGGAGAAGATGATGTTTACGTCAAAACCAAGCCATTCACACAGAATACATATTTTGCGCATTTTCTAGAGGTACATCTATCACTGTTGCACTCGCGTCTCGCACAAGAGAACCGCATGTTTAGAAAGCCATGTAAAATTAATGCAAGTTCAACTTTGAAAAAACATATCTCGAGACTTTATGGCGGGGTTTTTTCCCCATCCCACTGTAACTCGTGTTTTTAAATGAAAAATGTACTCTGTGTGATTGGCTTTCGCCCCTTTATATTAAACTATGAATACATACATTATGCTGTTTTGTTTATAGTTGTTTAAGCAACTTAATTAATTATAATTGGTTTATAAACATAATGCACTTTTTTTCACAGATAGTCATGTTATCTTCTGCTTTGAAGAAACGTGCATTCGTAATATTTTGCTTGATGCACCCTCTTGTGGCCTCAGGAGAGAATCCAAAAGCTTTTCTTCACCCTAACTGAAATTATGCATTTTAAATTCTAATATAATTTGAATTTTGATCATATTTAAGTACAAAATTCGAATTGTAGTTTTGTTTAGTTTTTTTGCCATTGGGGTATATGATTCGAACTTGGGGAATCATCTCAATTATCACCAGTAAAATATGGAGTGCCACAAGGATCTGTCCTAGGTCCTCTGCTATTTTCGATATACATGTTGCCCCTTGGTAATATTATTAGAAAATACGGGATTAGTTTCCACTGTTATGCTGATGATACTCAACTATATATCTCAACAA